TATATATATATATACCTATCAAAATTGAATAGTTTTAATTATAACTCAAAACAATTATACAACTTTTTACTTTTTTTATTTGATTTTATAAGTCGTTTATCATTTTTGATCTTTATACACTTTGAATCACTAAACAATAAAGGGAATTTAATAGAGGCCACAAAAGAAGACTGCAATGAATGCACAAAATTGGAAAAGAAGCTATGATGTTTTAGGCTGAAAATTAATTTTTTAAGGGTTTAAAAAAAAAATTAAATACAACTTGGAGTACTTTAATTAATTTACCAAAAAATAACAAGAAAAAGACCGAATCATTATTTCTTTCCTCAAGATCGTTGGTTTTTTCTTTAGGGTGCTCGATCAAACATTTCTATCTAAATAACAAAAGTGCTAGTAGCAATTAAGATGATAATTTCGAAGTAAAAATAAAAGTTAAAACTAGATTATTTTTTTAAGTTTGACAATCATTCAAAGTATTTAGTTTAAAGTCAAATCAAGCTCTAATATGAAATAACATACATAAAGATTTAAAAAGACATCCCATCTTATCATAAAGAGTGTGAGTGTGATTACAATTCGTTCCTTAAAAGTTAGAATCCTAATATCAATGGAGAACTTATCATTGAAATTCGGAAGTCTTTAGATAAATCTATCCCATAGATTACATCACAGTAAAATCGAGTTTTTGACTAGAATGATGTTTCTCAAAAACATATTTACCATATAGGTGTTGTTTTGAAAATATTTCTCATTTAGGGTTAAAGTCACGTACAAAGTCAAAATTAGATGCCAAATGAAAATGAAAAATAAGAACGCCTCCTGACCACGTCGTCTGTGTCCTTGCGGTCTGACAAGCTTCACATCGTCTTCTTCGATTCTGGTCACAGTCGACGCCGGCGAGCCCACCTTCGCCACAGCAGACTACGACGAGTCCTATCCACCAGAACATGCATAGTCTTCTTTTGTTTTCAACCCAAGTGCCCAATGTTCGTAAGTCTTATTTTCGACTTCAACCGATTCCTTCTGCATTTTAATTTTCGACTTCAACCCTTTCCATCGGCTACAGCCTACGCCGGCAACCCAGTCTTCGGCCACAGCAGACGATTCTATTTATTGATTGCGGTTCCTTAAAGCTTGAATACGCTTAGTTTTTTGAAATTTTGTTTTCGATTTCAGATTAAGGTATACCCATTTGATATTAAATTGCAAGATCCACGGTTCTTGTTGGAATTTCAATTCACCAGACATGAATAAGAATTGTTTGTTGAAACTTCAAACCAATGTTTTTATTTTCTATTTTCCGATTAAAACAAGCAGATGAATAAGATGGTCTTGTTGTTAATATAAATTGATGGTGTGGTTATGTTTTTTTTAATTTGTGTATCAATCCATTGTTTCTAGTTTCTTAATTTGTTTATGAAACCACGAGCCACATTTTCTACCTAATGGACATTGTTGTTGTTAACGAAGAACTTGCAAACAACCCCTCTTCAGCATCTTTGATAGCTTGAAGAAGCTCTGCATGAACCTAATTAACAAAATAATAACAATTATCTTAATATCATTATAACTAACTGGACGCAGATGTGTATTGTTTTTGGCTTTTTGCTTTTAGATTGGCTATTCAAGTTGTAATGTGAGCTGTCACAACCTCTAATTCATAAGCTGTGAGCTCTTATGTTTATAGCAATACTGATTCCATTACCAATTTATAACATTGACCTCAAAAACTTAAGTTAAACAATTCAACAAAAACACACTAAAAAGAACAGACATAATAGTGTGTATAAAAAAAATTATAAACATTATCGGTAAATGTTTAAAATAGTCAAAAAAAAAATTATATTAAAAAGCCAGTAAAGATATTAAGAAAACTGAAGGTTTATTTCTTTTTTTTTGAAAAATTACACCTCATTGGTAAATATTTTTAAAACTATACCTGTATGGTAAATAAAATTTTCAAAAACACAGTAAAATCCGAACTTAAAATAAGTACCGAAAGTCTGAAACATAAACAACTAATAATGACTAAACCTTCCAGATAGCCCTTCCGTATAGCCTTCAAACGTAGTGAGTGGTGACATTATCTGACTTCCCTTTTACCCTTTTTACCATTTCCCCTCCGTTGGAACTTGGAACCGGAAGAAAGTCGATAATTCAACCATTAACGCTGGCTGCAACTATCTTTAAACGCTTATTCCCTCCCAAAACCCGGAGGCACTCTTCCTTTGCTTTCTTCAATCTCTCCACCTCCTGGATTCTTCCACGCCGTACCATGGATCTGAACGTCTTCAAATTATGCTCAGGCCTCAAATTCCTTGGCTACTTAATGATCCTTCTCGTCGCCGCTATTATCGCCGTTTCCTACTATGTTGTTATAGTCCTCACTTGGGGTCCGCAGCTCTCCCACGGTGGTTTCAGATCTTTCTTGTCTTTCACCATCATCCTCTTGTTTCACATCCTGGTAACTTTTTGTTTTTAAATCTCTGATATTTATTGTAAGCCCTTTCAGTTAGTAAAAGTATTAAATCGTTTCAGTCGCATTCATGAACTACTCCCTGTGAGCAACTTGCCCAAGTAGGATAAATTAGCATCATCATTATCATCCATCAATTTGACATCAATTTGCCGAAGTAGTAAATTGTTTCAGTTGCATTCCTTGAATTGAACCCCACTCAATTCCATGGGGTGAAAGTGAAATTGACGATATGTGAATAAATTGTTGGTTAGATTTTCTGGTTGTTGTCATCATAAATGATTGGGCATTTTATATGTTTCTTTAGTTGGTAATGGCAGCCACAACAATTACTGGAACCTATCTGAAAGGAATGCTTATGAAATTGTTGCGTCTATTGGTGCGATGGTAGTACTGTACCTAGGGAGTGTTGTGTTTAGATGTCGAATCATATATCACAATAGGCATCATGAATACTATGATTGTGGGTTGTATATTGAAGCAAACTGCATGCTTTTAGTGAGGGGTTTGAATTGAAAAGGTTCTAACATCATATCCTGTTCCTGTATGTGTTGTGTTGCAGCTTGTGTTGTTAACATGGAGTTATACGATGGTAGTTTCCCAGGACCCGGGCTCTGTTCCTGAAAACTGGAAACCAGCAGCATCAGAGGAAAATCTAGAAGCTGGGGGGTCAAATCATATAGTACCTGATACTTCAGCATCATCAACGCCTTTGGATGTGCCTGAAACCAGACAAGCACAAGCTTCAGGCTACTGCCGTTACTGTCGAAATGGGAAGCCACCACGTTGCCATCATTGTTCTGTTTGTAAGTTTAATTTACTGTAGATGTATTGTCTTTGTGTGTGTGTGTGTGTTTTTTTTTGTGTTCTCCTGGTCTTCTGAGATTTGTGTTATATAAATGTATATAAAGCATGAGACTATGCTGATGTCTCTATAATAAGACATATATGAATGTCCAATATATATATATATATATATATATATATATATATATATATATATATATATATCCGTTAACATTTGATTGTGCCATTTTTTGCAGGTCAAAGATGTGTGTTAAAGATGGACCACCATTGTGTATGGGTGGTGAATTGTGTTGGGGCACACAACTATAAATTTTTTCTCTTGTTCCTGGTATTTAGTATTTACTCTCCCTATCAATATTATGATTTTTCTTGCAAATTAGTAGGCAGTTATCCAGATGTCTTGGTTCGTATGGTTATAAAGATGAGTGGGCTAGCTCCTTTTGAATGGTTGGTTCTGACAATCAATTTGGTTTCTAGTTTTTCATTGAAGCAAGAAATAGCATTGAATTATTATCTGATATCTCTTCCTTTCATTAAAGTGGCTAATCGTTTGTTTGTGAATTGTGAATGAACCTAGTGTCCATCTAACTTGTTGGTTTATTGCTCTAAATTCAGCTGTATACATTTCTGGAGACGACTATGGATACCATAGTTTTGTTGCCGAATTTTATGAAATTCTTCAAAGATGCCAAAGGTCACTCAAACTCACCAAGCGATCTTGCTCTTACCTTTTTGACTTTTGGTAAGGTTCCTAACTAACCTTAATAATTGCAATCTCGAGTGGCATCGTTTCTTACAGATTTTGTACCCTGATGCAGTTTTAAACTTAGCTTTTGCACTGAGCCTTCTCTGTTTCATAATAATGCATGCATCTCTTCTTTCAAGCAATACCACTTCGGTTGAGGTAATTATGAGAACTCGTCATATTCATTTTAATTGTCTTCATTCTATAATCTATATTATGGACTCTTGGTTGAACACTTGATAGAGAATCTATATAATGAGAAAATAATCTTCAAAAATGGTCCTTAATAAACTTGAAATTTAAAAGCAAACCTAAAATAACCACAAATTCATTTCCTAAGATAGAGCATTGAGAGACATTTTCGGTTGGTTTTTATTGAATTTTGACCACCCTTGACAAATGGTTGGTCAACTTGTGGATCAAAAGTTATGTCTGTTTAAGTGTGAGAATCTTTTAGGAATTAAAGCCAAGTATGTTCTTGGTTTGAACGTTGAAGATACCGGACTTGGAATTGGTGATCATTGGATGTGTAGGGAGAGCTGGAGGGGGTGGTTTGGTGCTTATAGTTATAGGGACATGAGTTTGGTACTTTGGATTGGCAATGATGACATGGAAGTGGTTCGGTTATGTGAAGATGATTCACCATAATTGCTGGGAGGTACCTGAATAGTGTCGGATGGTTCCTGTGAGGAAGATGAACCCTTGATGATATCATATCGGACATTAGAAGAACATGAAATTGAGCTGAAGATGTGAAAAAAAAACCAGATGAGAATGAGATTTCAACTTGACTGGAAAAATCCAGGTAAAGTTGTTGTAATCGTCAATAATATCTTAAACCATCACATACATCAGAATGAACAATTAATTTCAAGGGGTCTACTCTTGTGGTAGATGTGAATGTGAGAGATTTGTTGTAGCTTTAATGTTTCCATATAGAAAGAAATTCAGAGTGTTTTGGAAGACAAGTTTTCATTGATGTTAATTAATCTCATATGCCATAATTAAGGACTGATAAGGAAAAAACACGATGTTGTCTTGAGAAGTTAAAGAGGATGATGAGTTGGAAGGTGTTGAGGTATTGAGTGAGCTCCATCCTTGACAATGCAACAACAGTGACAGGACAGGACAGGACAGGGTTAAAATGTTATTCATATCATAGCATAGCAATGGAAATGGAACGATTACTTGCAAACTTGATCCTAAGTGAGAGATGCCAACTGATTTTTACCTTTGTTGGACTATGATATGGTTGTCAAGATACCAAGAAGCCATATCATTTTTCATTATTGTTGATGCAGAATACAAGTTTGGTGGGTATCTGAGGAGACTCTTGACTCTTGACTCTTGAGAAGACAGAGCTGTAGACGACGATTAGTAAAACAAAAAAGAGAGACTATTCACTAATGAATTCAGGTGGATTCGTTACTAAGGATAAATTTGAATTAATAAAATAATCCAAGGATTTGAGTGATCTCATCTTATTTTTATTTATAGTTAGTGTGATTATACTCTTAAAATGCTCAGGGGGGGTTTTCTTTTTCATCCGTATATGTTTTTGCAATTAGGTGTATGGGAAGAAAGGAGGAGTGAGGTGGAAATATGACTTGGGACGGAAGAAAAACTTTGAGCAGGTAGGTAAATCCATCTCTATCAACTTGGTTGGTTTGTGTCATGAGGTGGAACTATGACAAAATTCAAGGATTCTTGGTATGTTGAAACCTGTTGATATAAATCAAGCATGCATGCATGTGTAATGTGTTTGTTTTTATAAATTATAGAAAATTTTTCATAATTGGTCCCTGTGGTTTGCAACATATCTCACTTTGAGGACTTTCAAGGAAAACGTCACGCCACTGGTCCTTGTGGTTTGCAAAATTACATGAAAGGTCATTCTGCCGTTAAATCTAACTTTTTAGCTGTTAGATTTTATTGGAAAATACTATTTTACCCTTGTACCAAATTTGCAATATACTACAAACCTCAAGGACCATTTGTGTAATTTTGTATATATATAAAATATAAATATAAATTTTGTATGTATATAAATTATAAATATAAATTTTATATATATGTATATATATATAATTTCAACAATTTGATAACTTTTTTTTGTTAATCTTTTTGACATTTTTGTTTTTTATTTTTATTTTATAATTTTAGTTATTTATGGTTTTTTTAATGTTTATTTATTTATTTTGATTCAAGTAATAAACTTAAATTCGATTAACTATGTCTAAACCGTTTTTTCTTTAATTTTTTTTTTTGTGAATTGAAGCGTTAATGTTTTTTTTTTTTTTTTTTTTTAAATTTTTATGCCGTTATGGTTCATGTTTTTTTTTACTTGGATATTTCATAGTTAATATCGTTAGCAACTTTATGTTTGCATTTATCATTATCATTATTTCACCTTTTGTTTTCTATTTTTTCTATTTTTTTTATAATTTTAGTTATTTATTATTCTTCTATTGTTTTTATTTATTTTGATTCAAGTAATGAAAAATAGAAAAACAAAAAACAAAAACTCAAACACCAAAATTGTAATATACTCTAATATATTAATACATTTTACACTTTTCATATTTTTTTTGGTTTTTTTCGTATTTTTTTAATTTTTTCGTATTATTTTTTTTAATTTTTTACGTATTATTTTTTAATTTTTTCCTGTTTTTAATTTTTCGTTGTTTTGTTTTATTTTCATCAATTTGATAACTTTTTTTTGACCTTTTTCCAAAAAGTGTAAAATGTATGAATATATTATAGTATATTACAATTTTGGTGTTTGAGTTTTTTGTTTTTTGTTTTTTCTATTTTTCATTACTTGAATCAAAATAAAGAAAAACAATAGAAGAATAATAGTAAATAACTAAAATTATAAAAAAAGTAGAAAACAAAAGGTGAAATAATGATAATGATAAATGCAAACATAAAGTTGCTAACGATATTAACTATGGAGCATCCAAATAAAAAAACATGAACCGTAACGGTATAAAATTAAAAAAAAACATTAACGTTTCAATTTGCAAATAAGAAAAATTAAATAAAAAACGGTTTCAACATGGTTTATCGAATTTAAATTTATTTACTTGAATCAAAATAAATAAAAACATTAAAAAAACCATAAATAACTAAAGTTATAAAATAAAAATAGAAAAAAATGTCAAAAAGATTAAAAAAAAAGTTATGAAATTGTTGAAATTATATATATACATATATATAAAATTTATATTTATAATTTATATATATATACAAAATTTCAAATTTACAAAATTACACAATTGGTCATTGGTTTGTAGTATATTACAAATTTGGTACAAGGGTAAAATAGTATTTTTAATTAAAATCTAACGGCTGAAAAGTTAGATTTAACAGGATGACCTTTTATGTAATTTTGCAAACCAAAAGGACCAGTTGCGTGACGTTTTCCTTGAAAGTCTTCAAAGTGAGATGTTTTGCAAACCACAGGGACCAATTATGAAATTTTGTCCAAATTATAATATGTTTTTTTTAACAGCAAATACAGTATATTTCAAAACTACTCCTAAATCCACCTATCTCTCAGACAAGACTTGAACCCTCAGTCTCAAGAAGGGAGGGCAACACCTGATATCGCTGGATTAGAAGCCCTTTGGTTTCTAAATTATAAAACGTGGGTTGTATATTTGTTGTGTTGCAGGTTTTTGGCACAACAAAGGCACTTTGGTTGTTCCCTCTACTTGCCAAGGAAGATCGGGAGAAACTTGATGGTCTCAGTTTTCCAACATCCCAATCATGACGATGACGCCACTTTATTTATTTTTACTTTCTTTAAAAAAAAAAAGAAAAAAAAAAAAAAGAAACCCTTAACAAGTAAGTAGAGCTCTCATGTTATTACATATGATCTTTGCAAGATAGTCTGTTATGGTTGCTTGTTTTCAATTCGTACTTGTGTTGTATAATTTGGTTAGTTTATGGAGGACGGAGGAGATACAGAAATATCATGAATGTAAAGTTGCTTTCTCGATCACATCTTACAAAACCTTCACCTGCAAATTCTCTAAAAAAAGTTCTATATATGCATCACTTTTTGTACCAAGTTTTGTCATTCTCTACATAATATAACCAAGCAGCAAGAATACATCAAAATAAAATAAGATAATCATTTTACAACATAAAGCTTCAAAGCCGACAAATCAAACCATGATTTTTCTTTGTTTTAATATTAAATTTTGTATTTTATCATACCACGTACTGACATATTTACGAACTAAAAAATAAAGGGTCAAGAAATATAGAATAATAATAGGGTTATTATGTTTTTGATGAAAAATATGCTTAACCACGTTTTTCTCCATTAACCTATTAAATATATTTTACTCATTCATTGGGTGTTAAATACAAGTACAGCCTCTAATAAATAACCTATTAATTTTTTCCCCTCAAGTTATTAAAAAATAAGAACCTAAACAAATATCAAATATGTTAGGGTGTTTATTCTTACATCAAAATTTATAGTCTCACACTTTTTTTTAGTGGAAGCTCAACTTAAGATTGAAGATTGTGAGATATGAACAGAATGACATCAAATGCATTAAACTTTTTATAGTTCGCATTGCCACATCATCATTTTATTCGAGAAAAACTTTTATATAATATAATAAACTTTATAAAGTTTAATGAATATATATATATATATATATATATATATATATATATATATATATATATATATTATTAATGTACCTATTTATTTATTTACCTATTTTAGTGTAGGTTTCGTATTCATGTATAGTATAGGGGTCCTTTGTGTATGTTA